CGATCTGAAGCCAGGAGCCTCTTCCGGGTCTCCCACGCGGGTGCAGGGTCCCAAAGCTTTGGGCCGTCCTCGACTGCTTTCCCAGGCCACAGGCAGGGAGCTGGAAGGGAAGCGGGGCTGCCGGGATTAGAACCGGCGCCCATATGGGATCCCGGGGGTGCAAGGTGAGGACCTTTAACCACTTGCGCCACCGCGCCGGGCCCTAGTCCTTGGTTCTTTACAGGAAAAATGAAACTACTGTCCCTTCTGCTCGTTTCTCTGCTCAGAGCTTTAAACTTCATGTGTGAGTAGTTCAAGAGTAAAACTAAAACATATGGGATCCTCAAGCTGGCATTTTGAACCTTCCATTCCAATCTGAAGTTTTAGAAAAAGAGCAGTCACAAGCCACAGTTACCAAAGTCAGCTTCTTTCCTTTCACAATGTGAAAACCTGAATGAGAAGAGCATGTGTGGGATGACTGGTGCCATCTTGGGCACACACGCAGCTGCCACCTGCCCCTCCTTCTTTCCCACTGAGAGTCTGGGGAGGTGATGTTGCTACACTCTCCTGTGCTGTTGCTTCAAACAGTTCATTTTGAAGATGGTGTGCATTCCAGCATGGGGTATTGGTAAGACATTTTTCCCCTTGGGATATTTTGATACTCAGACCCTAAAATAAATCATTCCCTTTGGAAGAGAACTGACTGCTGGAAATAACAGTTCACATTGCAGTGTGGGCTGATTCACATGACCTGGCTACTGATGGAAGAAAACATGTTGTTGTGTTTTTGTTTCCACCTACATTTTACTTTTAACTCCTCCTTAAAATTTTTTTTTTTAAATTCACATTTGTTGCCAGATTCACAGCAGTTGCAGATTTAAAACCCAAGGTACTGTTGCTGTCTCCTTTCTTTAGCCTTCACACATTGTTGAACAGTGAGTACTAGAAACCCCACCCCCTTTTTATTAAATAACAGAGCCAATATGAGGGTATTTTGATTTTGAACTGGGGTTAAAAGCAAAGTCTTGATCACATCATTATCAACTGCAAACCCTTGCTGAACTCCTGTCCATGATGCAGGATGGGAGGAGGAGACAGTACCTGGAGGATGGCATGGAGCTAGATCTAGCAGTTGGCCAACTCTTTGCAGAGGCAGACTAGACCAGTACCAGGGAAAGTGGACAGTGATCATTAAATGATTACAGACTACCAGTGTGGCACGATGTCCAACAAGAAAATGTTGCCAGCAAACATGATCACAGCTTCTTGGATAAAATTTCAGCTAGACCTTCAGAAAGAGGTACTGTTTTTAACAAGGATAACTAGGCCAAGAAAAAGTTTCTGTGTGGAACTAGTAAATAAATACACATTCAGAAGCAGAGTGTATGCATGGTAACTACACACAGGCCAAGGTGGTTGAAAAAAAGAGCCCCACCAGGGCTGAACATGGCGAGTGCAGGACCTTGAGCTGCCGCAAATGCTAGGCAAGCAGTGCAGGTGAGAGCCGTCTGGCTGGGCTGCTGCCAAGGAAGGTGATAGGGAAGAGTCACAGAGAGAGGGAAGTTAGTTAGGCTGTCACTGCAAAGTGTCCAGGTGGGAAAGGAAATAAATTGGGAATTTAGATAATGACAGAGGGAAAGATGGTTACAAGATAGATTGAAACAAAAAACCAATCACATGACTGAATTTAAGTCATCCTATTTGATTATAGAGTAGACTAAAATTATGTTTTTTCAAAAATTAAAGAAAAGAAAGATGTAGGAAGGGAGCTGAGAGAAGGATTGAAGTATGGCGATCTTGTTTGTATTCTATTATAAAATACGTGAAATCTCCATTTTAATAAAAAAGTAGAAAAAAGAATAAGGACATTCATAGAAATCTGCATCATTTCACTGAGAGAGTTGCTAGCTGTAAGTTTTATATGTCTCATATAACTTAATTGAGAGCTTTTGAAAGAAGAGTTTTAATTCTTCATTATTAATTTATGAGCAGTGTGGCCTCGCAAATCCCAAGAATGGTGTCTCTGTCAGTCTGGCTGCTTTAACAAAAGTAGGATAGACTGGGTGTCTATCCAATAGAGATTCATTCCTCAAAGTTCTGGGGTCTTGGAAGTGCAAGATCAAGGACGTAGCAGATCTGGGGTCTGAGGAGGGTCTTTCCTAGTTACAGATGGCTGTCTTCCCATGGTGTCCTCGTAGGGTGGGCAAAGTGAGCATCGGTCGCTTTCTTTTCTTGTAATGATACAGATCCCTTCATGGGTCTCCACTTTTATGATTTCATTAAAAATCCTAAGTACCCCCTCCAAAGGCTCCACCTCCTAGTATCTCCTCATATAGGATTAGGATTTCAACACATGAAGTTTGAGGAGACAGGTACACACAGTTCATAGCAAATGATTATTCAGTTCTTCCACCTGCACCCTGACTGCCTTTTTTTTTCTCTGAGAGTTATGGGGCAGTGCTGTGTAGGGGAGAATACAAAGAGAGTGAATGCTCAGGAGGATTTATTGGTTCATAAGTAGAAATGTGAAAATACTTCTGAAAAAAGTCATCATAATTCATGGAAGAGCAATCTGGAGACAGACCCAGGAAAATATGCAGAAAAGGCGGCCTTCCAGAATGTTTGACATCCTGGGATGTTCAGTTCTGGCTGGCCCTGCGAGGGGGAAGCCAGGAACTGAGTCGTCTCATCATACTCTCTCTCCTCCTCATCGATTGCTCATCTTCCCTGATCTAGGCAACAAGGGAACCTGTTAGGGTCGTTGATGCAAGTCAGTGTCTGGGGACAGACAGCAGGGCAGGGAAGGGCAGAGCGTAGAACCTGGGCTGCCAAGCAGAAGGTTACATTTGTAGTTGGCATCTTCTTTACAAAATCTTGAGAGGAGTTCGAGGGTATATGGTTGGAGGAATTTCTTCATAGAATGGTAAAATTGGGAGTTGGAAGGACACTGGAAAGTGATTCTCAGCTTCATTTTAGACACAAGGAAATGCTCTATAGAGGTAGCAATTTGTGTATAGCTAGATGTCACAGACTTGGTAAGGAATTAGGGGTCTTCCATATGGAATAATACACAGGCATACAAAAGAATGAAATCCTACCATTTGCAACAAAATGGTTTCCCAACTGGAAAGCGTTATGCTCAGTGAAATAAGTCAAAGGACAAATATTGTATGTTCTCTCTGATACGACAACCTTCATGCAAAATACATAATGAACAGATATATAGGTAATCAACCATATACAGATTTTTCATAGATAAACTGTGTAATGGAGATTAGCATACCATCAGGTGAAATTATGTTTCTGTATGCATCTCTATTCCTGAATGAAAGGGGGATTCCTAGTGAATCAGTTAAATATACCTTGACATTATGATATTAGATTTTCTGCCTTTGCCTATACCTACAATGTCACGATGCATTTAAATAATAGAATGTTAAGCTTATAGCTGTCGCTGAAAGACTACACTGCAGTGCTTACATGTGGGGAAATGGTGAGAGGGGTAAAAGGAGGAAAAAGGAGGAATCTCTGTTCCTACAAAACTGTATCATGGAAAATAATAACAATGATGATAATGGTAATAATAAAAACTGACAGGTCTTTTGATTCTCAGCTTTTCCACTGGGCCAGTTAAATTCCACACATTTCCCCGCACCTTTCCCAGACCTACCATAGCAGCTTGGCCACAGTCCAGCATGGGTGATGATGGTAAGGATGTCTGAGATAGTAATAAAGGGAAACATGCAAGCAGTATAGACGCAGCTGTGGCTTAGGGCAAGTTTCTTTAAGCTTAACATACAATTCTGTAATCTGGAAAATATAGAAGGTGTCATGAAGAGACTAAGATCACTCACAATGGGTCACAGAGATTACTGCTAATGATGTTTTGCTGTGCATATTAGTAAAAAATGGTAAGGCACACAAATATGTGAATATGTATGTGCAAAATTAGTATCAGTTGTACATACAGTTTTAGATGTTTTGTCACCTAATGAGTAAGCAACAGCAATGATGCTTTTGATGGTTGTAGTGCAATTTTGCAAAGCTCCTCTTGTTAAATGTTGGATTTCTATTTTCTGCTGTGATAGGTAATTTTGTGGCACCTGTGGGTACAGCATTGGCAACATATACATTTTCTGTGCTCCATTCTGGTCGGGTACAATGAAATAACATGGCTCTGGGGCCACACTTCCCTCATCTGTTCTGCTTCTGCCACTTTCTGCATGTATGACCATGGGCAATCCCCTCCATTTTCCTGAGCTTCTGTTATGCAAGGATCCTGTTGCACATGGCCCAGTGCAATGACAACCATGTTAGGTAGTGCTTTAAGGATCTGACATGGGTGAAGTATGATGGCTCAATGGCTAAGGCCTCACCTTACAAGTGCCATGATCCCACATGGGCACTGGTTTGTGTCTTGGCTCTTCTACTTCCTATACAGCTTGCTGTTTGCGGCCTGGGAAAGCAGTAGAGGATGGCCCCAAAGCCTTGGAACCCTGCACCCACATGGGAGACCCAGAAGAAGCTTCTGGCTTTGATCGGTTCAGCTCTCCCATTGCAGCCATTTAGAGAGTGAGCCAGCAGATGAAAGATCTTTCTTTCTGTCTCTCCTCTCTGAAAATCTGATCTGCCTTTTCAATAAAAAATAAAATAAAATATATATATATATATATATATATTTTTTAAAATCTGGTATGCAGAGCACACAATACATGAAACCCTCTTCCCTCCTGTGGAATGGCTTAGTTTGCACCCATGAGAATGCATGTCTAAGTGTGTTAAATGGACTGAAGAAAATAGAGTTCCAAGCTGATTCACAATGCAAACAAAGGTAAATTCTACTTGCAAATAGGTGAATTTCAGCAATAATCGTTCATCCATTGAAATAGAGACCTATTTGAAATCTAAGGGGTTGTTAATGAAGGCAGAGCTGGAATCCCCCCTGTGAATGTATTTTTCTTTGAACTGGACTGTCCAGTAACTACTTCTAACTTCCTTCTTGGTGCCCTTCCTCCCCGCAGTGCCCATCTTCAAACTCTACCAGCGCGCAAAGCATGTCTACAGTGAGGCTGCCCGAGTACTCCAGTTTAAGAAGATATGCGAAGAAGCACCTGCCAACATGGTCCAGCTGCTGGGAGAGCTAATGAGCCAGAGCCACAGGAGCTGCCGGGATCTGTACGAGTGCAGCTGCCCTGAGCTGGACCAGCTGGTGGACATCTGTCGGTGAGGCTGAGGGAGCAGCATGGCGGGAACCTGGGGGTGCTGCCAAAGGATACTGTCTAAGCCAACGAAAACAACTACAGTGTGAAAGGTGGTCCTCCCCCACTTCTCATATGAGCCAAACATTCCTTGCTACGTGTCTGCAAGATGAAAGACTTTTGAGGCACAGCTTCATGGTTTCATGGGTCTTGCAGTTGGGGACTGTTTTGCAGGTAGCTCTTCACAGCACCGTAAGAGAGACTTTTACATGGTGGAAGACCATGGCTGCTTTGGGAAGGCAGCTTTTCTCAGACATGGGCCCTGTCGTTACTAACTCATGATATTTTAGTTACTATATAGCAGCTCTCCCAGAAACTCCTGGCTGCTGTCCTAATTACATTTACTAGTTCTGTTCAGACAATAGGAGTGTGTGGGGAAGAGAGGATGCTGAAGGAATCACTGAGCCAGCCAGGGTTTCCTGCCTTCCAGGTTTAGCTGAGGCAAACTGGGGAAATAAGAACTGAAGAAAGCTCAGGCTATAAATGGTGACAGTTGAGACAGAAGTGTAAAGAAGAAAATTCTTTCCCAAAGCCTGGAATCAGCCTCGTGATAATTGTGAAAGTTGAAGATCATAGAGTAGTGCGGTCCACTTAGGCAGGAGGGAGCCACTGTCCTTGGGAGAACTGAAAGGGAAATTGGGAGAATTCGAGTGGCTAGATTCTGCTTTGCTGTGAGAAGATAATGTAGTACTGCATGCAATTAGTAATGGAAATATAATTAACCACTTGGCGCCTGTGGCTTGCCTAGCTCATTGCCACACTCCAAGCCTGAAAAACTTAAACAGAGGAGCTCCAGTGATCACAAGTGGCACGTAGAGCCGGGCTTGTCTGGAGACTTGAACGCAGCCTTGACGAGAATCACTCTGCTGACGTCCGTGTTTTCTCACTCACTGGCAGAAAGCCTCACCGACTTCTTGCATTATTAAGGACTCTTTTCTGAAATATTAAGGGCTCAGTAAATGTCAGGAACAGTTATTGTCCAGTTTTGGGAAATAAGAGGAAGTGAGCTGGTTTGTACAGAAGCCAGGATGGAGTGTTTTTGCCTGGAGTAGAGTGGGATAGTCCGTTTCCCACCTGGAAAGCTGTGGGGGAGCACTTGCCAGCCTCCTGGAACTTAAAGGAACTACCGCTTCCTGGAATGGCGAACAATATTAGGGCAGCCATACTCTCGTGGGAAGAGGTGAAATGACAGAAATGATTTGAGTGCTAGTGTTAAATGCCATGGGAAAAAATGAGAAGGGATAGAGTCTGCTGATGTTGCAGGGAGGGGTCACCCTCTCTGAAGTAGTCCCGCCAGAAGACCTGTCCGAGGAAGAGACATCTCCCTCCCAGAGGAAGTGAAGATGTGGAATAAGCAAGTGCACTGGGCCTGCAGTGGGCAAGTGGCTGGCACTGGGGCGAGCAGGAAGGCCAGTGTAGTGGAGGGCAGTGAGGGAAGGAGCTAGGATCAGGTGATGAGTAGGGGAGAGTAGGGAGAGAGCCAGCCCTCTGGGCCTGCAGACTGCTGGAAGGACTCTGGTTTTGAGCAGAGAAAAGGACCAATTGTGAAATGGTTCACTGTCGAATGCACCATGTAGAAATACTCTGTGCAGTGGCTGTGTGAGTAAAAGGGGGATCAGACGGACTCCTTGGTTTTTGGCTAGAGATTCTTTTTTCTCTCAGAACCTCTTTTTGGAAGATAATTCTGGATCAGAATGATCTCTCAGCAGCATTAGAAATGACTGAGAGGACAGTAAGAGGTGAAGTGATTTGAACATATAATGAGTTCACACCATGAGTTCCTGACAAAGCCTCACCCCCTGCCCAATGTTTTTGCTACACCCACCTCTTTCTTCTTGGGTTACCCTGAAATGGGATTATACTCAGTTTTATAAACCATACTTTCATCTCCTAGCTTTGAAAGTGGCCTTGGTTGTCACAGTTTCCAGCATTTGAACATTGGGAGAAGTCATGTTCAACAGCGAGACACTGGGTGTGTAGCGTATCATATAGATGAGTTCTGGCTGTGCTGCTTTTCATTGGCAGCCCTGTGATTCTGAACTGTTACCGTGTTCTCTTCCAGTCTGTGGGGATAGAGATACATACATATGTGTGTGTATCGTGATTTATATATATATCATGCAATTTTAGTGAAAAGATTCTGTGGCTTTTTAAAAATGGGTTCAAAAGATCACCTTTCATTTTCTAAACATTAATTGGTGTGTGGAACTCCTTTTTCTATATTGCAGCTAAAGTGTTTCTGAGTATGTTGATTCTCTGAGAAAAAAAAATAGTTGCAGTCAGTGTGGGGGAGCTAGATCCTTTTTTCATGGTTCTTTTGTTTAGAATTGTTAAATGTCAAAATGAATTTTTCTTTTTTAAATTTTATGTTTCTTATTTTTAAGGCTTATTTTATTTACTTGAAAGGTGGAGTTACAGAGAGAAGGAAAAGTAGATCTCCCATCTGCTAGTTCACTCCCCAGATAAGTACAGTAGCCAGGGCTGGGTGGGGCAAAAACTAGGAGCCAAGCTTTCATCTGGGTCTCCTCCATGGGTGTGGGGACTCAAGCATTTGAGCCATCCTCTGCTGCTTTTCCAGGTGCAGCTGCAGAGATCTGGATTAGAAGTAGAGTATCCAGGACTCAAACCAGTGCTCATATGGGATGCTGGGGTGCAGACGGTGGCTTAACGTGCTATTCCACAGTGCTGCCTGCCCCCCCCCCATGAATGTCCATATATAATAAATTACTATATAGCTGTAAGTGGTCTGAATTTCTCATATTCAAAGTTTGTCTTCTGGCATATGAAATCTGGTTCCTAAACTTCTAAAACAATTACTGTTTCTTCGTTGTCATTGTAACTAGCAGGTAATATTCTCAAAATATTCCTTTCAAATATCTCAGTTGATTTTCTGATTATTAAAAGATCGTGAGTGGCAGAGCAACCTTAGAGGAGGATTATTAATGAAATCTGGAAGTTGATGTTGTTCTGTCTTATAGTGAGCACATACTTTTCACTTGGATAGCTGTGTATTGTGTGGGGTTGAAGCCTAGTCTGTGCCTTTAAAACCTGTGGCCCTTTCTTGTGCATGTCTGAGAAGTGATGCAGCATGGAGGAGGAATTCAGAGACGCTGAAAGATGGTGGGGTGAGATGAAGAGTGGTTGAATCTGACAGGACCTGTGGTGGGAGAGCATAAGTTAGCAAACAAGGGGAGGGGATCACATAAATGATGGGGAATACTCTTCTGTCGTGGCTCCTTCTGGAGCCATGTAACTGCCTGGCGAGGTCTGGTGGTGGTGGTGGAGTCACGAGAACCACCAACTCCACCTCCGTAGAGCCTTGCTATAAGGCCCACCACCACCTCTGCAAATCCATACCCCCTCAAAACATGCCAGCATTAATGGAGAAGGGGTGACAGAGCCTGGGCAACATGAGCCGATCAGTTGTAATCAGAAAACCAGGAAAGAAGGACTTGATGATGTGGATTCCAAGAGGAACATTGCCAAGATGGTCTTGAGCTGCTCATGCCTAGTGCAGTTTAAGATTCCTCAGTGTTTCTGAAGGCTTTCTTGAGAATGATGGCGTGAAATGACAACTGACTGAATGGCTGAGCGGTAGGTCTGAATGCCTAGAAATGGCCAGAGCACTAGGGACACGTCCTGGTGTGTTCTGAGCTAGACTGCACTGCGCGTGTGTCCTGGGTACTTAGCCTGGAGGAGCATGCGGAGGGACCTCACGACCCAAGTGCCAGAGTGGAGGCAGAGTAGACATAATCACCAGTGCTTGCTGTTTTTCCAGGAAAAAAGAAGGCAGTACAAAACCAAAGAAGGGACCGGGGATAAAGGAGGAAACTGCACTTACACAGTTAGATGGTTGATTTTTTTGAAATTAATTCACATTATGTGAAAATTTGTGAAATGATGTGAAAAATATGAGAATTTGTGAAAAAGCATAATAATGAAAGAAAAAGATGAAACTTGCCTGACTATATCTCTTCTCAGTGAACAAAATGTAAATGTGAAGAAAGGCTAAATTTTAAAGAATTTACTGAGGAACACAAACCAAGTTTGAAACCAAAATAATTATGTGGGGGACAGTTCATTTGTTATCGGTTCCTCGATTTTACTTAAGAAAAATACTTAATGCCTTTTATTAATGTATTAACACTTGTTGAAATTAGAGATGAATGATTGCTACATTATTGCCCAAACTAGTAAGGATGATGATTGACAAATTTTAATGGACCAACAATGGTTACATAAGCTAATTTGCCTTGCCTTCCTTAGAAGTCATCCCACAGTGTTATTCTGTGGCCTGATCCTTCAGCCTTCTGTGCCCATTCTCCTGCTCAGGTCTGACTGGGGAAGAATGAAGTATGAATGGACAGAGTCTGTTCTTTCCCCATTACCTTAAGTGGTAATTTGCATATCCCACCAAGGAAAATAAAGGGATCCCGCTGGCCCTAGGGACCTGTTGTTGTTTGGGCTTCTTGACTTTGACCTACTGATAGAAATGTCATTTGTTGCCGCACAGCAGCTGCTCTTGAGTGTCTCTGTAGTGACTTATATTTCTAAAATAGACATTTGTGGATATTTTCGCGTACTTTCTTATGTAATTTCTTGAATATAAAGCTGTCTGAACACACACACACACATATAAACGCTTGCTTTGCAGGGTTACAGAAAGGGTTGCAGGGAGAAAAAGAAGAGAAAATGACTTATTTTCCATCTACTAGTTAACTCTCCAAAAGGTCACAGTGGCTGAGCAGGGCCAAGCCAAAGCCTGAAGTTTCACCTGAGTCTCCCATATGGGTTCAAGGGTCCAAGGATATGATGCCGGTGTTAAAGGCATAACGTGCTATACCACAATGCCAGCCCTGAAAATGTCTCTAACCTAACTGTAAGAAAAATTATATATTCTTTTACATTTATTTATTTATTTTATTTGAAAGGCATATTTATAGAGGAGGAATAAGAGAGATATTTCATTTGCTGGTTCACTCTCCAAATGGCTGCAATGGCTGGGGACAAAACCAGGAGCTCATTTCATTCACTGGTTCACTCCCTCAAATGCCTCCAAACCTGGGCTGGATCAGGCTGAGACCAGGAGCCAGAAGTTCATTCTGGGTCCCCTACAAGATCAATAGGGACCCAAGTTTGTGAGTACTTGCTTCTTAGAGTGCCCATTAGTAGGTTTTTCCTCTTTCTAGTTTTCAATACAGTTAGGTCTTTCTGATTTCCTTCCCTAGCTTCTGTGTTACCCTGTGCCTTGAAATTTAAAAATCCTTCATGGTCAAATCAGTATATTGAAATGTAGGGCATTTTAGTAGGTTCTATTGGGTACCTGGACATTTAGTTATATGGCTACATGCTTTGGCAATAAGCACTTTCAACCTTCATTCCTCTTCTACCCTGGCCTTTGCTCTGTTGGTTGTGCTTTGCAAGGGACAGGTTGCTTTCCTTGCTTTAACAGATCCTTCCTCGTGATTCCCAATCCAATTGGTAGAATGATCAGAGCAGGTTTTGGTTTTTGTAAATTGTGGATTGCCACTCTGCTCTGCAGTAGCTCAGTGGATATCTATTTAAAATTTTTTACTGTTCTGTAAGAAAATGCAAACATGGGAAGATATCAGTTGGCTCACCTACTTTTCTTTCTTAAGCCTTATGTGAGGTCTCCTCTATTAGCTGCTGTGATATGTGCTGAGGCCCTTTGGGCACTAGTAGGAGACACTATGGGCAGAATCACTCTGTTGCCCCTAGCAGCGCAGGCTGTTGACTGAGTCCCTGATGCAGAGGCAGAAGGCCACGTATAAAGCACTTACCATTCTCTGGGAGATGTGAGCTGCTAGGGCATTAAACCCTAGAGCTGAGGCAATCCAGCCCACTTTCATGTGCAGTGGGCAGATCATGTCAGAGCAGTTGTGGAAGACCCAGAATTGAGTGTATGAGTATTTACCTAGAAAGACTTCAGGCATCTGCTGTCTGGAAACTGGCAAGAGGCTCAGGAAAATAAGTCCTCTGGCACAAGTCCTGTGGGTTTTGCAGCCAGATTAGAAACAATACTCTGGGTTTGCTTTAGGTTCAGTTTGGAAACCACAGCTTTCAAAAACTGTTCAAATGAGAAAGTGTAAGAAAATATGCATTAAAGACCATTAAAGATGTGGCAAATTTGGTACAATGCAGTGGCATATTTTGGGCATTAGAAAATCAAGTAGGACGACATACTGTTCTTGAGAGCACTGCAGGGCCGGGGTCTTGGATGCCCACATTTTAGGGTCTTCAACAAATGCTACAGGGGCAGCTCTGTTTACTCCAGTAGCCTCCAGAGTTGAAGTTTTTGATGTGACAGCATGACAACTTTAAAAATAACCAATGAACTGTGAACAGGCCCTTTGCCAATGTGAGAACTCAGGATTATCCCTAAATCCCAGGACCAGAGAACCTTTTTAGCCTAGGTCTGTTTGGCTCGGTTTAGCTCTGTGCCATACACTGAATGAGGAACGGGTGGGGATCAGTAATGCTTATTTATTTGTAAGCATATTTTTCTTCCTTAAGCATCTATTTTCATTTAGAAAGCATATTTTAATGAATAAAACAGATGATGAAAAGAAATCAATTGAGAAAATCATTGAGGGGGGAAAATGAATTACTGGTGTGCAATAATTCTGATGTCCTGAAATAGGGGTAATAGTCTATTGATATTTTCCAGGAAGTAAAGTAGCTCATTTAGATGGAAAAAAGGGACAAAATTGTGTTAAACTAATTATGGTGTTTTTAATCTGCTACTAATTTGGAGTAAATTTTATTAGGAAGAATTAATTGGAAGTACATGGTAACTTTTGTTGTCAGGGTAAATTGCATCTTTCAAAGATGAGTGATCCTTGCACTTTGTATAGAGCCTTTCTCTTTGGTTCAGACCTTGGGGTTTGAAACTGTGCCTGTCTGATGATGACGAAAACTTACCATACTTGCTGTGTGGTAGTTGACATGCTTATTTCCATTCAAATAAGACACATCTCATCCGGTGGTGATTCTGACTCGGTTATCACACCAACAATAGGAGACCCAGGGAAAGGAGTTCAGACTGGTAGGAGCTATTGTCTGTCTGTTTCAAGATTTGCTGATTATTTCATCAGATGTTTTGTAGGACTATGGACCATATAAACTCCAGGAAATCATTTAGTTGCCAAGGCAACCAAAGATGGGACATGAAATTCAGTAAAGCAATAGTTGAGTAATTTTTAAGTTGATAATTTTGTATGGCCTGCAAAGGGTGTCCTAAATGTCTAGTGGCCCTTGTAAGAAAAAAAGGAGTCCCCATTCCTGTAACCAAGTTTCCTCAAGTTTAATAACAAATTATTTACTGATGGGCTTATTTGTGAATTTAGGCTGTCTATTCTAGGGGACTTACTTGTCTGTGCAAAATAGCCAAGCAACTGAAATAGCAACGGGAGGAAGCCCCCTTGTATTTGATTTGTTCTTATTTGAAGTGATCTTCTGAATGATTCATATTAATCGTGTCAATTGTCTGTTTTCTTTTTACTCCCTTTTTCTGATTTTTTAAAGATTTATTTATTTATTGGAAAGTCAGATATACAGAGAGGAGGAGAGACAGAGAGGAAGATCTTCTGTCCAATGATTCACTCCCCAAGTGACCGCAACGGCCGATGCTATGCCGGTCCAAAGCCAGGATCCAGGAACTTCTTCTGGGTCTCCCACTCAGGTGCAGGGTCCCAAGGCTTTGGGCCATCCTTGACTGCTTTCCCAGGCCACAAGCAGGGAGCTGGATGGGAAGTGGAGCTGCTGGGATTAGAACTGGCGCCCATATGGATTCCCAATGCGTTCAAGGTGAGGACTTTAGCCGCTAGGCCACGCCGCCGGGCCCCCTTTTTCTGATTTACCTTTCATCTCGAAACACAGTTCTTCAACTGGCAACTTGATGGAATCAAGCCTGTAGCCAGTTATTACCCAACATGGGAGCTCTGCTGACTTTTACTACTGGCAGTCAAATGCAGGGACTCAGGTTGGATGCAAGCAGAGCATTCCAAGTCAGGTTGTGAAACAGTGTCTATTTTTTTGTGTGTCCTAAAATGTTTAATACCACCTGAAAACCCTCCACATGTTCTCTGTCAAGAATGTGGGTTCCAAGCAAATCATTCCTTTCACTTTCTCCCTGTTTTAGGAAATTTGGTGCTCAGGGATCACGGCTTACCGGAGCAGGATGGGGAGGCTGCACAGTATCCATAGTACCTGCGGACAAGCTGCCTGGCTTCCTAGCAAATGTGCATGAAGCCTATTACCAGGGGAATGAAGGAAGATTTGCACCGGAGAAACAGAGCTTGTTTGCTACCAAACCTGGAGGCGGAGCTTTGGTTTTCCTTGAGGCCTAAACAATGTAAAAAAAAAAAACAAAAACAGAAAACAAAACTTCCAAAAACTATTTAGGGCATTTAGGAACTGGCAGAACTTCCTATGCCACAGTAAATGAATCCTCTTTCTGTTTTGTATTATACTGAACAGTTGCTATTATCAAGATGTATTTCCGAAAAAAAAAAAAAACCCAGCTGAAATCTCTGTGTGCTTCATGATTATTTTTCCATCTTAAAATATGATTTTAAGAAACCAATCAGAGCCAAGATTCCACTTGGATATTTTAAAGATGATTTACTGAGATTTGTAGATTTTAAGGATAAATGATAGAACACTTTAGACACACATGGATTGAACTTGAATTGAATAAACATACTGCTACAATTAAACTCCTACAATTGCTTGGTGTGTATTATTGAATATAGTTAATTTCTGGTTACTCATAGTGTTCTACTTCCTCTGAGGGGTAGAATTCTGTTGTTGTTGTTGCTGATGATGATTGTGATGCCTTATAATCTAAATCCATGTTTTCTTCAGAACGCTGTGAAAATAATACATGATTGAATTAACAGTAAGTTTTTCTTGAACATTGTATATGTGGCTGAAATTATAAATGGTAAAGATAATTTTTTTTTGCAAAAGATAGATTTGATTTAGGAAGAAAATCCCAGAATTTATATTATTTTTTAAATATATTGTTATTTAAGGAATCACTTTGTTTTGGCACTTGACCTATCTCATTCACTCAGCACATAACTTAGCACTAGAAGTCTGTTTTTCTCATATCACAACGAAATAGAAAATTATTTAGATGTTAATTTAGATAATTTGATCTGTTAACAGAATTTACTTGCTCTACATGTTTCTCCAACCCAAGAAACCGTTGTTCTAGAAGCCACACTCATGCCTTTTGTGTGTGTGTGTGTGTGTGTGTGTGTGTGTGTGTGTGTGTGTGTATCTATACATGATAACTGGATGAATGAGGGTCTTTTCGTTTGTTTGCACATGAATGTTGCAGCCAGTGCAGGACAGGTGTGTGAAAATGGTGAGAGCAGTAGGAAGAGGCTTAAGGTTGACTCTGGGATTATTGGTGGCATTGCGCACCAGTGTGTCTTCATCAAAACTGGGAAGAAATATTTGGTCATGTTGTGATGGCAGATGGATGACTTTCTTTCACGGACAGAGTACAGGAATATTTTCAAGAATTACATGCTAATTTAAACCAAATCACAGAGAGCAATAATATTCAGAAAACTGAGACACAGTGGGTTTTCGGCTTGAATTATCTAGAAGATTATCCCAATTATCCATTTTTTCTGCTATTTTGATTGTTTATTGATGCAGAGCTCTAATACTGGGCATAGTGATCTAGAGTCTCAGTTTTACAGTGTGCCCTAGGCAAAGTTGATTCTAATAGTTTTTAGAGGACAGCATACATAAAGTACTAGAAAAACAAACATTCTGTTCTAAAAATAAACTTCGGATGCATTTTGCTTGAGGAAGGTTAATTAAACTTTGTTGACAGAATTTTTAATTCTTAAATTCAAGATGTTTTTAATGCCTTGCCATTTTCCACAAGGGATTTGTGTTGACTGTGTAAATCTTTAAAGACACCTGAATCACTGTAAAAATAGAGACACTTGCCATTGCTTTGCTAGCTTGCTTAAATTTTTAACCATGTGATTCCTGCTTTGCAACAGATGAGTGAAAAATTCTTCTGCATTCCTCTATGCCAGGAATTGTTTTTGATTTCTAGCTTGAAAAGAACTATATTTCAATCCCACCAACACTAAGAGGTAGTGTAGGAATTCTAAGTAAAAACTTGTCTGGAGCCATTGGGAAAATTTGCTTCGTGCAACAAATGGACTGGTGAATAATCTTTGAAAGCTAGGGAGCATGTATTGCAAGAGTGTAACCTGTAGACACAGTGTGTGCAGAAGGCTCTGGTATGTAGTGAAGATAGTACTGACAACATGGTGTGGGCCCAGCCTTTGAAAAGCTCCATATCCAGGCAGCCTTTAAACCAGGGGATTCAAATAGGTAGTTAATGGACACATCTAGTTTGCAAACATGTATTGCAAACTGAATGTATTTAGAAAATATCCACATAATGTTTTAAAACCTTGGGGTCCAATGCAGAAGGTTTTAAAGAAGAATCTTGGTTACATATGGTAGATCTGACACCACTTTGGCCTACATGCCTAAAATGCAACAAAGACCTGGAGCAGAAGCAGAAGCTCCCTGGTCATATGAGGTATTCTAGTTCCCACAATCCTTTGTAGTTTCTCTGATATTCACATTGCTTATGATTATCAGTTTGAGAGTACTTGCAATTTACAAGCACATTTACATTTTTCTATTCTTATTTCTCTGTGACCACACAGAAAGTTAAGAAAAATGAGGTGTGTGTGTGTGTGTGTGTGTGTGTGTGTGTGTGTGTAAGTAAAGAATAGTTCTGTTTAAGAGAAGACACCCACCCAGGTGTTTCTCTACTTTATTTCATTGTAATTTTAGGCCTCTGTATAGGAATCTGTTATTTGATTCATTGGCACTAAATAAATAACTTTTGAGTTGTTGGATGACGCTTGAGTTTTAAGTGGAATCCTGACATACTGTAAATATGAGGGTCTCTTCTAGTGCTCATCTCTGATTGTATGACCCTCAGTTTTATTGTAAACATGCGCCTTTACTGTCTATTGGACAGGAAGAGATCCTTCATAGTAGATGGAACTTTCCACATAGTAAGAAGGAGCAGAAGAGACAGGGATAAGGAAAAGCAGAGAAGGAAGTCTTTTCTTTCCTTTCACACTAGGAGTCCTATTCATAACCTATCACAGCCTGCATTGTGTTTCTGTTCACTGTACCAGGAGCCATTCATATAACATATCAATTGGTATTTAATATGCTTGTGCTGAATTATCTATGAAAAATTAAATGCAGATTCAAACATCAGCAGTTTTTATATATTCAATAGCTGCAACTACATCTGGACTTTTTAGTTGCATAAGCTTGGGTGTAAATCAAATATTGATCATGAAACAGTATCCAATCTAAATAGAAATTATGCGGAGAATTATTATGTTCAAAAGAGAAACATACCAGTTTGTGTAGGAACTTGTCAAAGTCATCCTGAACTTCATAGGGTTTCTTCATAGCCTTTGCTTGGAGTCTAATTTTGGAGTAAAGAAAATTAGTAACTAAAATATAATGATACCATCTAATAACCAACATTTACAAAGATTTTAACATACTGGGTATTTGCCAAACATTTTACATGCATGGATTCAACTGTCATTAGGACAATCTTTGTTGTTTGTTTGTTTGTTTTTTAAATATTTATTTTTATTGGAGAGTCAGATATACAGAGAGGAGGAGAGACAGAGAAGATGATCTTCGATCCATGGATTCACTCTCCAAGGGCCATAACAGCCAGAGCTGAGTTGATCTGAAGTCAGGAGCCTCTTCCTGGTCTCCCACATGGGTGCAGGGTCCCAAGGCTTTGGACCATCCTTGACTGCTTTCCCAGACCAAAGCAGGAAGCTGGATGGGAAGTGGAGCTCCTGGGATTAGAACCGGTGCGGATATGGGTTCCCAGTGCGTTCAAGGCGAGGACTTTAGCCATTAGGCTACTGCACTGGGGCCGACAATTATTTTTTCTATTTAAATGATTCTTTGTACTTATTTGAAAGTGAGATTTATAGAGAAGGAGAGAAAGATATATGTGTTCCACTACCCAAATGGCCCCAATGGTCAGTACTGGGCTGGTTCGAAGTCAGGAGCCAGAAGCTTCTTTCAGGTTTTCTATGCAGCTGGCAGGGGTTCAAGCACTTGGGGCATTTTCCACTGCTTTCCCAAATGACACATTAGTATGGAGCTGGATCAGCAGGGACTCGAACTAGTGCCCATAGGGCATGTGGGCATTTCAAGTGATGACTTCACATGCCAAACCTTATCAAGTAGGAACTGCCATTCCATTTTGTAAATCAGATTACAGGGTCAGACAGGTTATATAATCCCTTCACAGTAATGGAACTCATGAGTAGATGATCTGAACCCAAACACTGGGGTTCCAAAGCCTAAGTTAAATACCATGTGGCACTCATCCGAGTCATGGTCCTCCTCAGTTACATGGGTCACAGAGTGACGTTAAGGAGTGACCGTGGAGAAAGAAGACAAAAGAGGCTGGCACGGGAAACAGCAGGAAAGAATAAAAACTGAAGTATGAGGGCATTTACTAAACTGTAAGCTCATTAAAGTAGTGCCATGGGAACCTGTTGTGGTGTTCACAACCAAGCGTGCTAGAAATGTTTGTGAAGGAGTGTATTGGTTGAACTCAGGAGGTGGCAGGAACTTGTCCAGAGGTCTAATGATGAGAGGCGACAGAGGGAGGGCTCGGCAAGGAAGGGTGAGACACGGGAACACCACCAGTAAGACCATCAAAATGAAAAAGGGAATGTAAGACTATTCATTTCATCAGCAGCTTTCCAGTGAAAAAATGACTTTTCCATGAAATTTGTAGGAAGTAAAATTTTCTGAAAATCCAAAAGTATACTCCGCTGAAGCAGAAGCTGGATTAGCAAAGCAGCAGTACAGCTTGCACTTAGCATGAGGGTGAAGGAGGGTTACCTAGGTCTTTTGGAGTTGTCCCTTCACTCTATTTCCTCAACCTGAATTCCTTCCTCACTTCAATTATTATCCTCTAGGTAATAATCTGTCCTTCCATTTTTATCCCCCGCGAATCTCTGGTGCCCTAATCTTCTTGGGTTACACAGAGACCTCTGCCTGTGCTTCATCTCACTTCTAGAGCAGTGCATCTTCCAATACACTGTTTTAATTTATAGTCTGTCTTTTTTTAAAGTAGCAGTTTTATTGAGACATGAGTCTTATACTATAAAGTTCACCCTTTTAATGTGTCCAATGGTTTTAGAATATTTACCAAGTTCTGCGGCCACTGTCACTATCTAATCCTCCTTTCTTTGATTGCCTTTCATTTTTAGGAATACATGTTTTGGAAGATGACAGATGAAAGCTTATTTGCCAGGCAAGTTTCACAAGCACATAGGATTTATATAACTGATAAGATTTGTTTTTCTCTTCACTTTCTCCAACATTGCACCATTATATAAAACATACATGAATGTTTCCTGGGAGTTACCCTGAGAAACAGCCTATTCTTCTGCATGCCTTTGTGGCGAGAAAAAATCTGTCCTGTGCGGCTTTGTGTGAAAACTTGTAAGAATCACCTAAAATTGGACCTTAAAATTTGAGTGTGGGATTTCTGGTCAACGTGAGATAAGACTATAAAATAGTGGGTTGGCTCTTCTCATATGATAAACTAGTTTACTAGGTTCCAAAATAGTATTTACAAATATGACATATGAGATTGGCTCAAAGTTATAGTTTCCCAAGCGGACTTTTTTAAAGTGCTCGTCTGATACTTATTCTTGTGCATGTGTGTGTGTGTTGGAACAAGTAGGTTGTTTTCAATACTTTGTAGTTTTCATTTTTAATCCTCAATTTATTTTTATTTATTTTTTTTTAAAGATTTATTTTTATTATTTTTTCATTGGAAAGGCAGATATACAGAGAGGAGAGACAGAGAGGAAGATCTTCCGTCCGATGATTCACTCCCCAAGTGAGCGCAACGGGCCGATACTATGCCGATCCGAAGCCAGGAGCCTCTTCCGGGTCTCCCACGCGGGTGCAGGGTCCCAAAGCTTTGGGCTGTCCTCGACTGCCTTCCCAGGCCACAGGCAGGGAGCTGGAAGGGAAGCAGGGCTGCCGGGATTAGAACCGGCGCCCATATGGGATCCCGGGCGTGCAAGGTGAGGACCTTTAACCACTTGCGCCACCGCGCCGGGCCCTAATCCTCAATTTATAAAAAAAAATTAAATAGGCTCAATTTCCCTTGCTTCATTGAGGAAAAATGTTTGGATGTGTAGAGGAAGCAGAAAGGAACAAGGAAGTAGCCCAGGAAAGACCAACTAAATATGTTGTTTTTCTAGCTTACATCTTCCCTGGGGTAAGACCAGGTTGTGGGTTTATTTTATGTCCCATGGCTAGAGGAGTGAAAATAGCTGATGACAATTTTTAACAATTAAAACAGCAAGATAGGCGATTTTTCATGGTAAAAAAATTTTTAGTGTTATTCCTGATGAATAAGTAGAAAATCCATTTTGCAGGTATTATAGTTGATGTAGTTTTACATAATGAACCGGTGCTGTAATGCAACAAATCATTAAATTAAAATGACTGAGAATTACAAATTTGAATTCAAAACAAACCTGTCTAGCTCTTTGTCAATTCTTTCCTGTCGCTGTTTTAGGAGTTTTATTTCTTCATTAATTCTTTGCTTTTCTCTGTAAAATCAACATCTTGGTGTTACACATTAAAATAGGCAACCTTAACTTGGAAAGAATAAATGGGCATCTTACTGATGCCTGGATGAAGAATCACCCAGCACATTCCCTCGCTGAGACATGTACCCACAGCATTGTCCAAAACACCTGATTATGGCCTGAACTCCATCTTCCTGTTTCCCTGGACTCCTCTAGAAGGATATCCACCCCATTTCTTCCCCCTAAGCTTAGGAAGTGTAAGGGAAGTATTCATATGTGTGTGGCTTGGAAGGGGACTGGGCACCCATTGACAGCAGAGGATCTGAATTGTACCTAGCTGGCTGTCCTCCACTTGCATCTCTTAGATGTGTTTTCTGACCTGCCATGATATCCAAAGGGGAGAAAACCCAAGCATAATAAAGTGGCTGGGTAGTTGCCTTGAGGCGGACTGAAGAACTGGATTCTGCTACTTTTATTCTTACACAAAAACGAATGGATTATTGGCTCATTAACCCACCCACAACTTTCTAGCACACCAGAGCACCATGATTTACTACAAGCAGTTATTAAAATGAAACACAAAAACCATGAACATGTTCTCCAAGAAAACACTATGTAAAAGACCCACCTGTCTTGTGTTCTTCAGCACACAAGCAGCGGAGCTTCTACCAAGCTCCAGGGAACTTTTACTCACACCCTCTTTCTTCTGTTCTTCCAGGGCTGATCCTGTACATGGATTATAGTCTATAACCTGTATCCATTATGCTGTATTATCAGCATAACTTCCATCCTTCCTTTCTTTGGTTCCTGACACTTACAATGCTATAATAGTGCATCATTCACCTAAAAACAATCTCTTAATCTGTGAGATGCTTAGAAATAACTTGCATCACCAGCAAAATAAGCAGCTTCATTTAGATCATTTCTATGATTACTTCCAGCACTTAAAACAATTACTTTATATTTAATGAAAGTATGGTATTAACTTACATCCTGAATTCCTTGTAGTTCCTTTCAAATTGTGTTTTTGACTCCTTGATAATTTCACAGTATGTTGGAGCAGGCAACGTATGGGGCTCATGGTTAAGGAAAGATTTCTAATGCACAAGATTTTAAAGAGGCAAACAGTATTCCCTTTACAGGAGAACCCAGATGACCACCTAGCCTGGGCTTCCATGTCATGTGTGATCTCACATATAAACATGACTTTTATCTCAGGAGTTATGTTGTAAGGAGGGAAAGAAAACAACATCTACCACACCATTATCTGAACCACACCAACCAGAGTGTGATGACTTAATAATTTGTTAGAAGGGAAAGAAACTGATTTTTTTTAACTGAGGTTTTTTTTTTCTACACAATTCAGAGAACACACTTCCTTCTTCCCTCGCTTCCTTTTCCCTCCCATCTTCCTTTTACTTTTTAAACTTTTGAGATAACATGTTTTAGATTTATAATACAGTAAAAGGTTTAATCAGAAGTTGACTTTTTTTTTAAACAAAGGAGTTACAACTTAAAATGGGTGTTCTTAAGACAAGAGTAATATGATAGGTCCCAAGAAATGTGTTGTGAAAAATGAATTGAACTTGGTCAGTGGGTTGTGCTGTAAGTGCTGCCTACTGACCAGACCTTCAGTCATGCCAGGTCCAATCAGTGCCTACTCAGAAGGCTGACAGTGAAGTTTTGACAGTGGATGGATGCTTGGATCCAGGAAAGCCTTCTATCAGGTTGTCAAGTTTGCTGCTTTTTCTTAAAATTTTTAATTTATTTAAAGTTTATTTGAAAGGCTTACACGCATGCACACAGAGAGAGAGAGAGAGAGAGGGAGAGAGAGAGAATATCTTCTCTTTGCTGATTGACTAGCCAAACACCCTCCACAGTGAGGGCTAGTTTAGGCTGAATTCAGGAACCCAGTCCTTGGTCTGGCTCATCCAGACAGATGGGAGGGACCCCACTATTGAGACACTACGTTTCCTAGGGTGCACATTTGCAGGAAGTGGGATTGAAAGTGCAGGAGCCAGGGCTCCAGCCAGGCATTCTCATAGAGGGTTTGACTGTCCCAAGTGGTGTCCTCCTTGCTATCCTAAATACCTGCCCCAGTCTGTGTCTCCATGACTATTACAAACACTGGTACTGGAACTATTAAAGAAACAGTATTTAAGTATATAAGGTGGTGGAAAAGCATGAGACAGCAGTTAGAAGTGGAGTAAGGATGAAAGGAATTAACATTTGTTGGATGTTCCGATGTTCTCATGCAGAAGTGTGAGAGTTAGTTTGAATTAACACAGCATCAGCGAGAGAGTACACCATCCGCATGTACAAAGGGGGATGAAGCGTGCACAGGGCTTGGCCTCAGCTCCCAGAATCAGACCTGCCTCAGTAAACTCAGGGTCAGAGAGGTGTCCAGGGCAGCACTTTCAAACCTAATTGCTCACTCCTGTGTTAGTGTTTCAGGCTGCTGAGCAAAACAAAAGGGTAACTGGTGTCTCCACTTCCATTAACATAATTCTACTCAACACAACCCTATGGCAGCCTGGCACAGGCCACCCCAAGAAGTCTCTTCCTAGTGGGGGTCTTGGTTTTGAGGCTGGAGTTCTTCCAACATGCCTTTAATGGGCACTCATTTTTACTCTACTACAGAAATTTTATAATGATGTAGATCATATTCAAACAATAACAGTTATTGAATGACCAGTTTATCCACTGGAATTCCCAGTTTGCAGTTGAGTATTCTGGACATCTATAATGAGAAACACAACACTGTCATCAGAATAGCATGACATCACAAGCTCTGATCACACTATTCCTTGTAAAACTTACCCTGTCTTCAGGGATCTTCTAAATGATATTTCAAGAGTGTCCTTATAAACTACAGTTTTGATATAAATCAAATCAGAACAACATTATTTCAACACAAAAGATTCTTATTTTGGATCCAGCTTAGTTTTAAGTTTTGGTTTTGAGATTAGTAATATTTTTGATTACTCAATAAATGTTCAATATTAAGAACATATCATTTCTCAAATCTAAAGGATAAAAGTAGAAGCTTCACTTAAGAAATTAAGGCAGAGAAAAATGGTAACTTACAGATCTATTCATTTTGACAAACATTTCTTAAAGATATTACACAAATAATATTATAGAAACAATAAAAATTTCTCCCATGATCTCATTCTTCAAAAACTAAAAACTGAATTTTTCATCTGTCTCTCCATTTGTCATATATAACAATATTTTATATTAGTGTTACAAGGGTGTGACTTTTTCCTTAGTATCACAAAGTCTCCATGTATTCAAGTTTCATGGCAATTATTTCTATGTCTGTGAAATATTTCACTAAGTTTGTATATCAGGAACATATTTCTATTCATTTCCCTGATAACATGGCATGGTACAAACTTTGTTTTATTTCTTATGAGAAATCATCCTTTTCATTTCTCTTCCTCAGCTGTGTTTTTAATATGACACTATTGTTTCCAAGAATCCAGCCCAGGAGGACTTCTCTTTTAACTCAAGTCCCTCTAAGTTCTGGGAGAAGATTGCCCTGGTCTTGCTTAGCTTGGAACCAAAGCGATTCACCTAGAACAAAGAGGCAGTGATCCTGTTGATCACATTGTTTATTACATTGTTTCCAATCCCAATCATGCCAGATTTTCACATTATTTTTTTCCTTTCTGTCTGTCATAGGACAGGAAGGAGTCTAGAAGGGGTATAAGGGAAGGTTTAGAAATCTTCATTAAATGAAGCATACCTGATGATAATAGATTTCCTTGAAATGCTTGTCTTACTCTGCTACGTAAAGTGATTGAAAGTTTAAGACTTCTCTGAGACAAGTTGCATAAAACTGAATATATTCTGCTTGTAAAATGATTAGTACTAACGATACACTGTTCCTGGAATAGATGATCTTGTTTATGTGCATGCAATTATATTTCCTGGGAGTGTTTTGTTTATCCCCCAGAGCTCCTGTTATGATATCAAAGATTTTTATCCTTTTACAAAGTGAAAATGTGCTCTTGAGTATGGCTCCCATGATTATTTGCAGGGAGTTGGAATGTATGTCAATTTGAATGAATTGGATTTTCAAAAAATACTATTGCTATTGAAAGAAAGAACTATGTTTTATTTCTTATGTTATTAATTTTAAGCATATCATTTTGCTGAAATGATTTGGGTATACACTCTTTATAAAGTCATTCTAATTATCCACAAGCTTTGGTCAAAGCTGTATGTTTGTGCTATGTAATGAGGCTCTGGGCTGCATTTAGTTGGTGTTGACTCAGACCAGCATTTTCTTGTACTACTCGGTGATGATGGTGGACTTCTGTTAATTTGTGTTAATGAGTATCCTAATTTGTATTTTCCCTAGATACTTAAAGCCATAAATTTGTTCCCAATTGTAGAAAAGTAATATACTTAAAGATTATAAATTATGAAGAATGGCTATATTCTATTCCTTCGGGTGACTGTGGCAACATGTTTTTCAATTGCACTGTCTGAACTGGGCCAGAATTTCATTTTCCCATGTACTACTACATAGAGGCTACAGGAGAAGCCACTAAAAGGAAAGAAGCCATTTGGGGACATATGAAATGATCCTATTCCAGGACTTTGAAAGAACCATGGTTGAAATGTAACAAACCAAGACCCAAGACATCCTAGAAGCCTCAATTTAGACTGGGGTTTTGGTCTCCCCTCAGAATCACAGAATTTTAGAGAAACAATGGACCTTAGAAATTATAGGGTCCAATTCAATTATATTATAGATGAAGAAACTGAGGATGGTGAAAATGAAGTAACTTGTCCTTGAGAGACAGTGTGTGAGAATCTTGAAAAGAAGGAATCAGGTAAAAATTCTGCTCTTAACTGCCAACAATGTCCCAGAAGCAGGCCACAGGAGGCATTGCTGTCTGTCTCACATCCCTGAAAGATTTTCCTTAGATACATTCGAGTTGCTTCTGAGATCATCAGGTTTAGGTTTGAAGTGTGCATTACACACATAAAGCTATTGTGCAATGAGTAACATGGATTGAGGCAGCAAACAGCAGCCAAGAGCTCCTCCTTTAGCACTGGAATTACTTTGATTTTTAATCCTAAAACTAAGTTCATGGAATAATATGTCAGTTGAGTTGATTTTGCGCTTAATGTTTACATTTGCTTATGCTTCAAGTATTTTAATGTTGGATTTATAAGAGTGTTTGATGTTTACTACATTGTCATGTATCCAGAAACTTAACTTCAGATATATTTAAATATCTCCATATATATAATGATATATATCTCTCACTGTGCACACATGCCTTATTTTATAGTAGTGTCACTGATAGAATCTTATCCTGATTTTAGATGAACTGATAGTATGTGTAAAATCAGGCTACTGTTTTAGTAAATTTCATTATTTAATATATCATTTGAGCAGTTTTGTAGCATAGTCCAGAAAACTGAGGGGACAAGGCTACTTGATAGTAGTAATACATATTTAACTAAAGACATTCAACTTACCAGGACCTTCAATAGGCATTGAGACACAGATGAGTAAAATCATGGCATCTAACCTTGAAGAGTTAGTAGGATTGAGAACTGACAATAGGCAGTTTTTGAAGTGGGCAGAAGCATTACAATTTTTTTTTTAAAAAAGGCTATAAGAAAGATTAATTTTTTTGTTAAATTGCTTAAGAACTCAGGGAAGTATGACAACATTTCATAAAAATATCCATAAAAATGGTCAACATGAAAAGTCTTGGTGCTTCAAATGGTTGGCTTAGGTTTTCTGGAACATTTAATTATGGGTGACAGTTTATTCCCTGATAAGGCTAGATAAACAAGTTGTTGATTTATAGAGATTCCAACATTTTTATAATCTGTGCCCTTTAACAAAGTCAATTCCAAAGGTTGTTTGGAGAAACTTTAGCCATCTCCATTAATTCCATTAATTCCTCCACCCCCACAGAGCCATTCCAGAAAACATACAAAGTTAGCGTTTGCTTAACACATGCATGTTGGACACGAATCCCTATGCCCTGTTTGTAAGTGAAGTGAATATACAAGTCCCTTCATAAGAAGCTACAATTCCTGGAGTCCCCATTTCCCCAAGACCTACCCAAATTTGACTATAGTAACGAAACAGAGAGCAGATAAATAAAGAGGCTTCA